TCATTGCTTAATGTCACAACTTAAACTGCGTTTCTTGGTCTAAACATATCTTTCGGCACTGTCATTCGCTGAGTCACGTCCATAAGTTGCGGTAATTGCCTCTCCTGGTGTTGTGCGGGAAAGTAGACAAACGGGATTTTTTAGAGTGGGGGACGACAGACACACCACTCTAAGCCTTAGACCAATTGACCGATTCAATAATCAATTATAGTTTATCCATCTATTGGTTAAATATTTTTAACCGGTGAACAGCCTTTGAATTCAAAGAGAAAAATAAAAAGACGATCGCTTGCTGGTAAAAGCAGTGTCGGAGTTCTGTAGTGTAAAATACAGGTATTTTGGCGAAGATGAATACCTACTTCAAGTCTGCCACATGGTTTTGTGCGGCAGTCCCGTCATCAAATTAAAAGTGATGGCACTGTCTCTAAACATCAAATACTGGTGCATATCTCCAGCGCAACGCGTTTGCCTCAGAACTCTCAGTAGCAAAAGTTAACCGAATTAGTGGCAAATATTTTGCATAACTTCAAAATGTGCAAAATGCAAGCATACGGCAGCACTGCTGCTGCCACTCAGGGGCTAGGGTAATTTTGTATCCAAGGCGCGAGTATACCGCAATGGGATTGGGGCTTCGAACATCGAGATAATACGCCCTAAGCTTAATAACCTTATCCTCAGTAACGAGGTACTGCAGGTTCGCTTAAAGACTTTTCTAAAAAATTGGGTAACCGCGAAATCGGCCCAACAACTTTAAAGATGCCCTGAGGAGCTCTCTGAGATCGCCTAAATATGGCTATAACTCACTCTGCTGGCTCTGTATAGGCATCCTAAAAATCCCTTAATCATGATGATACGCAGCCTATTTGCCTAATACAAAAGCACTCAAAGATAGTGGCACACCTAGGTCATCTCCAAAATCAGAACCACTGTCAGCCAATAGCGAGCGAAGGACCCTCGCACCTCCGACCGGTGGATCCGCGAAGTGATATCTCGAATGCGTGTAGCTCGTTGCCCTTACTGATCGGACTACGATCCAACCCTGCGAGCAAGCGCTCTAAAGCTGATGACCGGACACATCGCTCCCACACACGCACACACAAAGTAAAAAGCATAGTGCGTTATTTTTGAGACGATTATTGCAGTATTATGTTCGCCTCTCCGCGAGAAATTAACCTTCTTTCGACTGCTCTCATTTGCTTTTATCATCTACAAAAGCGTAAACATTTTCTAATAGAGGCGTTTGAAATCTCAACGAAATGTCTCGCTTTCATTGGATGGTGACACATGTCGTCCTGGATGCCTGAACACTCCTCCCATCGCAGGAGGTGACCTCGGTGTATTCGACCTATGATTCCTTTTTTTTAAAGGGGAACCGGCTGCGTATCGTTATGATATAGGGATTTTTAGAATCCTTAGAGCCCGCGGAGTGAGTGATCGCCGTATTTAGGCGACTTCAGAAATGTTTTCAGGGCTCAATTATACACCCGAATGATAGTAGCTGTGGGGAAGAGGTTAGCCAGCGCTGCGACGTTTGTACGGGGGACTGCAACTCCTACAACACTTTTCACACCCAGCACAAACCAACGATCGCCAGCAGTCTCGGTGTGTTTCTTTTTCTGCATACTTAGAAAGTTACAACAGAAGCTATTGTTTTGTGCTGTGATACCATTGGGCACCGATCCAGACGGCAAAATGTTCAGCTGGACACAGTCCTGTACGAGCAAAATGCGTAAAAGCGCTGATATACAGTGCACATGGCCGTAGAGCCATACTGCTCTACTTTCTTGAAAAATCAAACTTTATTGTGCGCTCTTGATGCTGTTAAATTACATTTGGCAGTGCTGACATTTCACACGGGCTCTCTTGCCCAGCCGCCGTCAGATCGACGACTAAACGCTAAAGCACCAATGTACGCAGCTACTAAGCTATACATTCCTAGCACGTAGCGTCATATGGCACCGTACCAGTCGCCATTTCTCCGTATACCATGCTCCCTTGCCTCTACTATACCCGTACCATCTGCAGCAAATATTCGGCACCATCGAATTTGTCCTTCTCGGCAAGGCCTGCCGAGAAGAACAAATGCGACATTGCGAAATGTATTCTGCAGAAGCTACAGTGCTGGAAGAAACGAAACGGTCTAGTTCAGCACATGGCCTCGCTTTGGTAACCGCGTAAGGATCATATACAGTATACTGCAAGCATATAGAGCTGCTCTAGCCTACACTCTAAGAAACACCTGCGCGTCTACTTACCCGCAAAACACTCGAAGAGCCAATCTATGCGATCTACGAAATCAGCTCAGCGAATGATGAGGCGGAACACAGTTTTTAGACCTCAAAATGAAGTCTGCGCTGCGGCGTTACGCAACGCAAGCATGACGATTTGCATTGCGTAATGCCACAGCACAGACTTCATTTTGAGGTCTAAAAACTATGTTCCGCCTCATCATTCGCTGAGCTGATTTCGTCGATTGCAGAGATTGGCTCTTCGAGTGTTTTGCGGGTGAGTAGACGCGCAGGCATTTCTTAGAGTGTAGAGTAACATAATGAATCACCATTTTTCTGATCGCGTAATCGCTAGAGTCACCGTGTTTCGTTGACCACTGTATGAACACAGGAGTGTAGTACAGAGCAATGGCGGCTGATGTGACGTCAATGCGAGCCATGTATAGACAGCGAGAACTTAAAGAAACGCAGGACGTTGCTTATTATGTTCACGGCTCCTGCTTCGTGATTGGGTCTTTGAAATCCTTGTCCGATAATGTCGCCATATCATTGGCTGAGGAGCGATAGTAAGAGTCACGTGACCCACCGCGCTCTGCATCACTTGAGCTGTCAGTGACCATGGCTCAAACCGGAAGCAGCGATCGGTGGAATATCGAAGTGATGCAGCGTTGCTACTTGTAAGCGTCGTGACTTTACGAAGTGTATAATGCTGCATGATTCGCCCTCTACGAAGCCACTATCCACTAGAGTTGGTGACAGGCTAAGACTAAAGTGGAAGCTCCTCTCGCCCCTTTCCACCTTGGCAGAGCGAACGCTCGCCAAAGCGTTCGTTCGGTAAGTCGAAAGAGGTGGGAGGAGCCTCCACTTTACCCTTAACCCTAGCCTGAGCCTGACAGATCGCCACGAGAAGCGGCCGCCGAAATGGAAAAAGACGGAGCGGCAGACAACCGAGGAGAGGATGGATGGATGGATGAATCCGGCTGAGCCCTTTGGATCGGGCGGTAGCTTACGCCACCTAGCCATTTTGTTTTGCCATTTAAGCTTAGAATATTTAAATGTGAAATCTATATTCACTCAGCACTGCAAAGAAAGTGAGGCTATAAAACCCCCTTGCCATCAGTTAAAAAAAATACCTAGTTTTCTCTCGCTTTCTGCCACCATTCCAGGAGAGCCAGATGACTGGCGCCCCGCTGCGGTGAGACGCCGAAACACACTTCTCCCGAGCGAACAAGTGTGTTTCGGGTCCTCGCCGCTGCAAAAGCTGTGCGCTGACGTCCAGGTTCCCCGACAAATGGCTCTTTGATGCTCTGATTTACCAGATCCTCGCGCTCCAAGTCTGCGACCGGGCACTCTATATGGCTCCGTCGTCGAACTGCCAGGCTTTGTAAGTATAGAGGAGGCTATGTCTTAACTTGTCACCGACTATAGAACGGTAGACGCGTGGGCCTGATTTTCCGCGGTCAGAACTCGGAGGGTGCTAATGGCTGCGAACCGAGCCGGAACCTAGTGAGTGGCAAGAGACAGGTAAAATGCGAATTTTCGAAGCTGAAATTTTAACTGAAACATTCAGCACGTCGTCCATGCTGCATGCTCCGACATAGGTTGCATTTTTAACTTAATGGAAATATATGCAAGGCGAAATTTTATTCGTGTTCATTTTTGGGTGGGATTATTTGATCCGCCCTCTGAATCAATTAATGCTGACTTATATTTCGTATTCTATTTTAATTCGTTCTGCGACTTTTTATTGCAGAATTAAGGCATTCGATGCTACATTTACTTCAGCAGGGAGAGGAACTGTCACTGGAGTTCACACGTTGACGTCTACAACCTGAAGTCCGGTTGAAGAAATTGGTTGTATACATGTTTTGACAGCGGGAGGTCTTACAAACACGTCTGATTTCTCTGGAATAGATTGGCAATCTTGCCGCTGTAGCTTATAGTTAACCCCTAATTTTCAAACGAGCACCACGTGGTCGCGATGGCATGCACGATGAGCACAACGCCCATTTATTTAAAATACGGCAGGACTTGGAATCGCATGTATGATGTTGAAGTCTGCAGCGGGAGCTTTTACTCCCCATTCTGCCTGGCTGTGCCATGTTGACTGCGATAGGACGGTAATTACCAAAGGTTTTGTGTACGTGTCCTCTCACGTTACCTGTAGCAGCGTCCCTCCCTCTCATTACGTGCTGCGCTTTCAAAAGCTTATGCATGCATGGTCGCTCACAATATGCTTGGAACACAACTAATTAGACATTTTTACCATCGGTTAAGCCAATGAGAAACTTCATCAGAATCATGCTTTAGTAACCATATGGTCTCAGTGGCGAGAGGAGTGGATGTCTTTATCCCAGTGAGAGTCGATCTTGTTTTATGTTACGCTTGCGGTCCACAAAAGATTTGCTATTTATTGATATATGAAAGAGATAAAAAAACGTAATCCCCAAAGCTTCTGGTTCCATTCCTAGTCTGCACCAAAGCCTCTTCGAAAATTGGCAATCTACAACAAAAACCTGGAGGGCTGTGGTAGCTCAAATCTTTCGTAAAAGTACGTCGCCGTGAAGTATTTACTGTATATTTTAGTGAGTATGAGGTCACGGATTCCTGCAGATTTTCAGCGAGCTAGCTGACTTCAAATATGTTCGGACACAGAGTGAGTTCAGTTCAGAAGGTACGGTTTTTGCTGGCGGCGGGACAGCTGCAAGAACCCCCTAGCGTTCTTAACCGAGAGAGTGACCATAGGTGCTGTCTCGTTTTTCTGCATGGACGTTCTGTCGGCTTGAGTGGCGAGGACGAGAAGCCGCCAGCATCAAGACGTCGAGTAGGCGTAGTGACCGTGAGTCCTGAGGAGCTCCATGCCGTACAGCAAAGTCCGGTGCACAAACTCCAGAAACCGTAGCGTCAGGACATCGAACTCGTCCACGATGCTGGGTCCGGCACCGGAGGGTCCCGGTCTCCTGTCGTCGGTCCTTGAGTTGGCGTCTCTTCTGGGCTTCGAAGGAGGGCTTCCGTCCTGGGCGTCGTGACCTGGGTTCATCGTGGGAACGCGTCCTGACCCTCTGAGATTAGGGGGTCATGCTTGGCACGACGGTATCTGGAACTCACGTCAGGCTTGTTTCTCGAAGCGCCTCTGTTGCTGATTCCAACGCGTCGATGCTGGAAGGGGAAGACAGGACACTGTGTTAATCAATTGGCTCTGTTTGACTGTTCATTGTGTATTTTGGATATTTAGTCACTGAAAGCCTAGGAAACTCTGGGCATGTCAATTCTAGAGCATTCTGTTAAAACCCCGCGGCGAATGAGATTGTGCCGTTGGTTAATAATAACGCAAAAAAAAAACGAATTACAAAACAAGAAGCTTTAAAATACGACCCCACGCCATGCGTTTGTTATTGTGGGGGTGACTATACAGCTTTTTTGCCGTTGCTTCCTATGCAGTGACTGGCTAAGGTATGACTCCAGACCAATTCGAGAGTCTGTCATTTTTTTTTTCTTAATCTAAAATTCTTGGACAAAGAAAAAGCAAAATATATGAACAATTGGAGCGTTTTAGTATGCCAATGAAATGCGGATTAAGCCAACAAGAGCGCCGATTAATTAATGAGTAAAGAAAGAATCAAGGACATATTAATCATTAAGCCTCGCTTTGCACTCTTTGAAGCTGCGAGTGACTGTAACGAGATCTACTTGAGATGTCTGTGGGCTGGATGGTTATCCGCCTATAGTGAGACCGAGACACGTTGGAGAAACTAAAAATTAAACGCCAATCTTCGACGCAACAGTCTACCGATCGCGAAGAAAACTGCAAAGGTGTTGTCTGCCGTCAGCCGCGGTGTGGCGCCAGCCATAATGGAATTATCGGACGTAACGGCATCTCGGCACGCTTCGGAACCCGTTGTGCCGTAATGAAGTTTCCCGCAGGGAGGCCCGTACTTCCGCGTCGGCGAAGAAAGCGCCCGGTCTAGCTTTCCGATAGCCAGGCAGGTCCGCCGGTTGCCAGCTTCCTTGTTCTGGGATTCGAATGAGCAACGGTAACCCAGTTTCCCAGTTCGGACGTTCCCCGCCTTGCCCCGGAAATTTCTCCGTTCGTGTGTTTCGCTTGGCGCTTTTTGCATCCTTTTTTTTTTTTTTCTGCTATTATTTATTTATTTATTTTGTGAGGGGAAGGGGGGTTGTTACTCGTAGCTGCCCCGTTTTGCCGCAAAGCCGGGTGCTGTAGTCTACCTGAGCCACACTCTAAAGCCTTTCCCGACACATAAAAAAGATGTACCGTACATTGTTATTGTTTTGCTTACACACGTACAAACACCGAATGACGACGGTAATTTGAGTGAATTATGAACGTGCAAAGAGTCTTGAATTGACGACCAATACAACAACATGCAGCTTTGTACGTAAGTTTGAATTTGGGGTGCGAAGGTTGCTTTGATTCCAAACCGTTCATTCCACAAAAAATTTTTAAAAAAAGTTAAAGAGTTCATTTTGATACAGCAGTGAGAAAAACATATAATTCCAGCGCACCGTCACCAAAAGACCATCGTTTTAGTGAAAATTAAATAAATTTCGCAATATTGTATTTTTTTTTCTAGAGTGGAATAAAGTGTTGGAAAGGATATTTCCGTAAAAAGCACGGAGACTGCGAAATCTGATCAGAATAATTTAAAATGAAACATCTTGCACATTCCCTGAATTACAACTGTTTCACTCAGAAACTTAATGTTTCTTATAAATAACCCGAAACGCTTAGATCGGCAGCTTTGAAAGGGCTGTGCAGTAGGTTCTTTCGAGTCGCGAGGGAAAAAGACGCTCGAGCGTTAAAGGAACAGTGCAACAATATTGAGCTTTAATTTTTGCTTCTGTACACAAGGTTGTTGGCACTTGTGGGACCCAAGTTTGCTCGCTCAAAACGCCACTGAACAGGAAGCATCTTTGTCGTGGTGAAATTTTGCTTTATTTTATTTCAGTCTCTCTTCCGCAAAACTTGATGACGCAGCTTGAGGGTTGACGCGCCGTTTATAATATATAATTGCCCGTGTGACAATATTTGAACGTGGCACATAAACTGGCCACGAGCGTTGCTTGTGCACTCGATCTTCTCTCGTGGCAATCTATACACCTTTGCAAGTAGGATCCCCGCTTAACCTCGAACCGCGCGCCTAGGTGAGGCGGACCTACTCTCCAGCCAGGGCGTTCGCTGGTTGTCGTACAATGTTGCCAAGCGTCTCTCGCCGAAGCGTACACCACTGAGCGCAGAAAAAAATTTTAAAAAATATTTATAAAACGTAACACGTGTCGCCTTCAACAGGGAAATAGCAAGGACAATTAAATAAAATGCCTAAAGCGGTAACAAATCGAAAATTTTCAAAAACATCTAAAGTCTCAAGGCGCTCTCTTCAGAATGCGCCAAAAGTCGCATGGCCTTTGCATCAACGATGGCTGCGCTCGCGGCAGCTCTGACTTCCACAACATGCAGGAACAGTGGCTACGATCGTTATAAAGTCAGCTCCAACCCCGAAAGTTGCCCCGTCCTACAATATGTGACGCTACGATTCTGTGTGGATACCTCCTCCTGCGTTCCGAGACAGTAAATGTGCCGCTAACGTAAGCCATCGGCGATGCAGCAAACGGCACCATCTTGTCATCGCGCACCCCAGTGACGTGCCCCTGGCGCACCCCAGCATGGCGGAAACGGTACGGGGCGCCAGCATCGCTCAAAATGGCAGCGCACAGGAGCCTTTCTTGCAAACGTGTATAGGTCGACGAGCCTTCGCGGGTTATGGTTGGTTTGCTAATCACCACCGCGAAACCAATCACGTCAGGATCGCGGTGCATTCTCTGCGCGTGATTGGTTGCGTCAGTGATGGCGAACGCGCAAAGGCTATGAGTGGATGCCGTGACGATGCGGTTTTGCCGCTGCGTGATTGGCTTCTTCGAATCGTAGCCTTGAATGCGGTCGGACTTGGAGGAAACCGAAGTACAGTTGCAAGCTGAGGGAATGAACGCAGCTCGTTTCATTTTTTTTTTTCTCTCTCAATTTTTTCGTGACTGCCCTTGCATAAGTTAGGACGAGGGAGTTAAGAAGTAGGAAAATTACAGGGTCCTCGATCGGCATACCGCTTGCAGAGAGGGAAGTACTTATACGCATTTCTTAGATTAGGAACGTCCAGGGTTAAGAGCGTCGTTTATTAAAAGCGCTAAAAATTGTCGCGTCGCACTTTTCAGACTCGAAAAATTACGTATTTGCGAATAAGCTAGGGTGTAAATTTAAGTTACGTGCGTCTATATGTTCCGTTTCGGCCTAACATGGCAAAGAGCGAAAGCTACTGCCCCGCCGAGCCAATAGGTGAGCGGCGTTTGGCAACTTCCGGTTACTTAGGAAATTTTTTTCTTCAGTTGACAAACGACGACAATGAGCTGCAAGCCTGTGGAAGCATAATTTTGAAACCTCCAGGCTGCAGTTTGGAGAACCACGCTTAGACAGCTTTGAAGATCATCGTCGTCATTTGTCAACAGCTAAACGAAATTTCCTAAGGAACCGGAAGTTGCCGAACGCCGCTCACACCAGTGGGAGACACGTGGACGCATACCGCTGGAACGTGCGAATGCTGTGGAGAGCTGTCATGTGTTTTGCTCCGTGGCACTAATGGGCACCCGGATTCCGCAACTTCTTCTCTTTGCCAAGTTATGCTGAAACGTAAAGAAAACGCAAAAGACGTCGAATCTTTAACATTCAAAAAGAACGACAGGCCTTGAATTCAATAGGATGAAATAAAAGTCAATACATTATCGCTTCGCTTTCGAATCGAGCTTAGTTTCTTGTAGATTACGCATAAAAATCTCCTTCGCATATGCGAACGACGCCGAACATCCGAGGCCAAAGCGTCCTTGAAAACCTGTGGCAGCCGCCGCTTTCACGGGCGCGAGGGCAAGGTCATCGTCTGCATCAACACAAACGGATCGATAGGAAGATAGCCCCGCTTGCATGATTCTGGCGGTTATTTTTAGTCTCCCGGTTGAGTCCCACTCACGTTTACGTATGTGCCCGACACAACCTTTTGCGTCAGCACCCTCGAGGGGATCGGTGGCCAAGACGGTTCACTTTAGTCGGACCGCAGTCGACGCTATGACTGGAGAGAGCGAGTCAAGTAAGCGGCGCCAAAAATGCATGGTCACGATACTCGATATCTTTATGCTATCACCACCGATCTCTACTAGAGTCACTAAATGAGCTGCGCTTAGAGTATCGGCACTCCGTTCCCCCGACATAGTTGTGGGCGCCGCCATTTTGTTTTGTAGGCATAGCAGACGCAACTGCCGATCGTCATTATTCAAAAGTACGACTTCCTCAGCATTATATTCGGTGTTAGGAAGATCATGTAAGATTGCTTTGCTGTGTCGCGAACTGTTTAATCGTTAGTGAGGGGCGAAAAAGCATTTCCTGCGATTTCAGATGAAGCTTCAGATAACTGGCAACCATGATTTTACGCCACAATATTGCCAAGTGTCGTTACTCTGAAGCGTAGCCTTATTTAGTGGCACTAATCTCCAACATAGGGGGCTGGATGGCGCAAGGGAAGCCACCGGAAGTTCGATGCTTTTCCCGGAAGTCGGGCGTCTGCTGGGCTTCTTAGTGCATTCGGTCGATATTTTGGTGCATGCTTTTTTTGAGTCTTTGATTGGGTTTTAATACTCCCATTCAGAATTAAATACTGAGAATACGTAATTTGAACGTGGGACATAAGCACACTTGATCAACTAGAATCTCAAAAATGTTCACATCGAATGGCTTCCCAGGAGACTTCTCGGGTCCGCATGCGCCGTTATTCCGCAACAAGCAGGCTCTCTTGGGATGGCAAGAACAAATCCAGCGCCCTGAACGCTGTTCGATCCAGCACTCGGAAGGGTTGAAAAGCAAGTCAAGCGCATACTTCCGGGACAAGCCTCTTGCTTCCGGTGGCTTCATACCTGTCTGCTCAATGCGCCATATCCAGCCCCCTACAGTGGAGATCAGTGGCTATCACCGGCTGACTCAATCCCGTACAAAAAAAAAAAAAAGCGCGGGATCGTTGACACTGTTCGTGAGCGGTTTAGTTACAGTTTAGTCGATGAATGGATGGATCATAAATGGATGGATGGATGGATGGATGTTAATAGTTGTACCCTTTGTAACAGGTGGTAGCTTGCGCCACCTAGGCCAAGTCTAAACATAGGTGATATAGATACTGAGTGCCGTGACGATGCATTTTTGGCACTGCACGATGTGCTACCAAGGATCGTATAGACCTTTACATCGCCTATCACCCGTGTGAAAAATGCTTGGTCATCGAGCTGTGGATGCATGCGCAGCGTCTGATATACTACAGGAGAGAGCAACAGCGCATGCTCAGAAGGCATTCCACAGCCCAGCAGAAAAAGATGGCAGCGCGCAGAGGGCGACTTTTTGCAAAGGTGTCTACAGCGTCGGCTGCTATCCGACTTAAAAGTGAGATGGAGTATAGAAACCCACTGCTATACCGTAGAGTTATTACAATGTACGCTAGAAGTTCAACTGCCGCTAGTGTGCTGTGGCAAATTGAAGCAGACAGAAACCGGTCGGAACTTGACTTCCGGTAATGCCGGAAGTCAAATGGGAAAAAGCGAGCGCATTTTCTCCCTGCGTTCGATTATAAGAGCAAATATCCCGAATAATTGGTTCGTAGTAGGTCGCTTCAAACATTAGTCAGTCACGCCGCCGAAATAATTGGTCTGTTACGGCGTCTTTATTTCAAATTCATGGCATTAAAAATGCTGCTAAGACGGTTCCGTACGTTTATTTATGCGCACTGTCGGACACAGCGCGAACACGGCGTCGGCGCTTTCCAGCTTGGGGCATATGCGTGCCAAATGAACGAAGGACATGTGGAAACCCAAGAGAGACGGCAAGAACTACGCAGTAACACTGGATAAGTAACTCCTTGTGCATGCAGGCGATCAAAATAACTTGAAGGCTATGTCATGTAGTCCGATTTTTAATAAATAAGCGCCGCTTTATCCTTTCTGCTCATGAATATGTGCGAAGATTCTCGTTCTGGTTTCAAATCATCACCCGCACGCTCCAAAGCTTTGAAAATATGGAGAAACCAGAGAACAGGTGCCCTGTAAAAGCTGCTCGACATAGGAATTAATAAAGAGACACACCTTTCGTAGCCCACATACTTTCTTTTTTACGTTTCGAATGTCTTTTAACCGCTCGCAATGATACACGACGGGGTCATTGTCATATAGTGTCAGGACGGGCATATAACCAATATATAGGCACCACCGCAATGCGGGCGAACCTTGAACACACTCTACGTTCTTTTGGATTGTTATTTAACTTAGAATCGTCGCTCGTTTTCTTTTTTTTTTTATATTTGCTATGGAACAGAGGTTTGGGCCTGCAATATAGCGAAGTTTAGCATCTCTCAGTGACAAAGAAAAATGCTGTGACTAAAGCAATAACACTTTTACAATGTTAATAAAGGTACATACTATTCGATACCACCGAAATAGCAAAAGTTATCGATGTTGTTTTCCGGCAAAAAAACAAAATGCGCGCATTTTCCCGTAGGAATGCACAGGAGCACCGCAAAAGTAGTACTTGTTCGAATTTCGATACGATCAGATGGTAGTGTTCTTCGGCGGCTGTGAACTGAAATGTGTTGTAGACGTCGACTGGCTTCCCGTACTGCAACATGCGGAAATATTGCGGCCATATGTGCCTTCATCTGCTCAGCTGCTACTGGAGTTTTTGCTGCTGTCGTTTTTTCTGATGCAGTTCTCTTGAAGTAAAGCTCAACATGTCGTCGAACTTTCTTTCCAATTTTTCGCCGCATGTTTGGAAAAAAAAACAAAAAAAACGAGGGGCTGTGTTAGAAGCAGGCGCTCCATCGTGCCTTGGCGTCATCTAGACATCTCCCGCCGCTCAGGCTTTAGGTTCGAAGAACACTTCTGACAATGCATGCTTCGAATATGAGTCAGCGTCGACGTAGATTGGAACAACTGAGATATTTATTAGCGCACTTTATCTTTCATGGTTTCGTGCCACCAGTACGGCGCGCCACTGCCAATACTTAAAAAAAAAAAAAAAAAAAGAAAACGCGAGATAGCCAAAGCCGAAGTTCGGTCGTTTGTGTCTGAAGATAGCGCAGTCTGAACATCGCCCACAGGAGACGCTCCAACGTATCGCCGTATGGAATAAGATTATCTCCTTTAATAGAACCCATTGTGTGGCGTTGGCAACGTCGCGAACGTATTCCGCAATCTGCCACTGAGAAACCCTTTGTTCCTCTGCGAAGCAGACCTTGCGTCATCGTGCTACTCTGTCGATTCGAACGACGACGCAAGGTATATTCACTAAACTTGGTTTCACCTTAAGTTCAGACGGACCCGACGCGTGCCTGTGGGACATATCCAACAGCGCCAAAAGCACACCACAATCATTGCATCTCTCATCGCTGGATCAATAATGCACAGGGAAGGCCTTGTGACATGTGTTTTTGATACTGTTTGATCGGTACCATAGGCTCGTATAGTGTCGGCTGTGTCTGAACTTAAAGGGGTCATGAAACGATATCAGGTTGGAATGTTCATTACTTTGCAGAGGCGTGCTGGTCCTAGTCTGGCCCAAGTACACTCGCACGCACCGCCACTGATTCAGAAGCTTCTTTGTCGCGTCCGTTTAGCGCTTTCAAAGTGCTCGGCAGCTGGGACACAACCGAACAGTTTATGAAGGCCACCTAGGCTCTAATACGATTCCTGAAAAACACAGGACTTTCGGACAGACTCTAAATGACTGAGAACTTTATATGAGACTGTTTACATAATTCACTAGATCATAATCATCTTCAATTTTCACCACATATCCCTACCCCACTGCTATGTCTTTCCTTCCCCCCTCTCCCTATCCCCGGTGCAGAGTAGCAGACTAGAACTGACGTTCGGGTTAAAATCTCTGCCCTTCCTTCATAAAGCACTACTACTACTTTGATTAATACGCACCAGATCGCCTGCACGTTGATCATTTTTTTCATGGGTAGTCGTTCGTGTCCAGCCAGTGCGGTAACGAAAATAATCGAACTCTAACAATGCCTGGCACTCAGCACGCGTTTTCTACTTTGTCGACTCCAGCTGCGTGATTGTAATTAACGTTGGCGGCTTAGGATAGGCACCAAGTCGGCCACGTGGCCGCTTGTTCTGGCTCCGAGTTCAGGATGAACGAAGCTCATATTTCTCGAATTATTTTATCAACTGCTATTGCGTAGAAAAAAAAAAAAAAAACAGAGGCAAATGTGTTTTGTTACTAACGTTAGGGTCGCCTACACTTTCAAACGCCACCCAAGCAGGCGGAGGGATGACTAAAACCGCTTAGAATACAAGACCTGCGCCTTACGCCATCGTTAGTGGATCCCTGAGGCGAATCGGGGTCGGACATTTTTTTTAGGAGAATGCTTCCGTCAGAAATGTTATCCCGAAGGCAAACGTGCCAGCAAAATATTTCGGCACGTCTCGACCACATCGAATAAACTCGGAGACGCATAAAAGTGTGTTACGAAGGAGCTGGTCACATGCTGTGTTTGTGTGACGTCACGTCAAGTTTACGTGGCACGTGACGTCACGGAATCACCTGACGTCATGATATCACGTGGCACACTGACTCCAAGGTCATATAAGCAGCGTAGCCCCTAAGGGGCTCTATCACCACGAGCCGCACCCTACGTGCCTTCGGCTGCCGGTGACCATAAATTAATAATCCATTCCAGTGCCTGCTATAGCGGAAAGCAGGATGCCGAGGCCATGCACAGATTGCTGGACGGATCGGCCGAAGAACACCTGGCTCCGTTTAAACTATCCGCGTGAGCAGACTTTCCGCGTAGTTTGCGTACTAAGAACTTGGACGCCACGTGCCCGGTAAATCCGCCGTCGCACTGCCCATTACTTATACGAGAGACAGGGCGTTCACTGTTGCCGTATAATGACGCCGATGTCTGTTCGAAGCGTTCATCTCTGCTTCATTCGTATACGTGTGCTTCGAACACGTCTGGGTTCCGCGCGACTGAAGTGGCAGGGACCTTCATACAGAATCAGACGCCGTCTTCGGACTGTCTTCTGTGCGGTGCATTGGCAGCGTGACGCAAGACGTCTTTTTTTCGTTGAAATGCACCGAATTGGATAGAACCATCTGCGCATTTTTTTCACGATTCCCACGACTGATGCCGTCTGCCGTTCCGACGCCCCAACTAAAATTCGTAGAGTCGACGCTATGACGCGCGTATTGCAGGTGAGAAAGTAAAGAGCTGTAGTCATACTAATAAATAAACGTGTGCAAGCATAGCCTCCTATATACTGACAAGGCCTGGCAGATCGCCACGAGAAGCGGCCGCCGAAATAAAAAAATGTGGAGCGGCAGACAACGGATAAGAGGAGAGCCACGTGACTGGCGCCCCGCTGCGGCGAGACGCCGAAAAACACTTCCCCCGAGCGAACGAGTGTGTTTTGGGTCCTCGCCGCCGCAAGAGCTGTGCGCTGACTACAGGTTCCCCGAGAAATGCTCTGTGCTACCAGATCCTCGCACTCCAAATCTGCGGCCGGGCACTCTATGGCTCCGTCATCGAACTGCCAGGCTTTAGAGGAGGCTATCGTACAACACGCGCCATATGTATATGCTTAAGAAACGCTATACTCTGTTTCACCTTATGATGAACCGCAGGAAAGGGTACAAGCGCGAGCGCCTTGCTCTGTGGCACATCTCGGCGGTACAAGCTCTCGTGCGTTAAGAGCAGCTCCCAACGCTTTGAGCTAGTGCTTCTAGCCTTCTCTGCGGTACATCAGGTGAAACGGAGCATAGAAGGGGTCACAACAGAAGGTAAGAGGCTTGACTACGCAATAACGCAGCATGCAGGAGTCTGGGTTTTAGCGACAATGATGAGAAGGAGTTTTAAATTGCTTAAGAAATTAAGGCACGAAGGTAAGCATTTTAGTGGGTAAGGCAGGTGAAAGATAGGTGGCAATTTTGATTATGCGAACTTTAGACAGTTCTGTGTACTACTAGAAACAATGCACATTTGGTTTTGTGTGGGAGCTACTGTTCGACCCAGATGAGAAAATCCCGATGCATCCATTCAATCATTCGTTCCCAGGTGAATCTTTACCTATAGCCGCGTGTCAATTATTAAGTGATTGGAACTCGCTGATCAATTATGGAAAGCAAATACTGTTCAAAATGCAAGTTTAAAACCAACGCATAGTGTGATACTTGTGTTGTCTTTGTTGCATTTGTGAAGGTTGCGACTGTAACAATGTTATGTATGCCCAGTTGTGCAGGTTTTGCAGGAATTCAAACTAAGAACATACTGATATATATATATATATATATAAGTCAGAAATCCGTACTTCCGGAGTTGCTATGCTAGGAGTTTATTGTATGTATTATGACAGTTTCGCCGAGAGGCGCGGCTTCGTCAGCAGAATATATATATATATATATATATATATATATATATATATATGTGTGTGTGTGTGTGTGTGTGTGTGTGAATCAATTTCTCGTTGTCCCAGAGTCCCAGACAGCCTAAGAAACACAGAGTGTCTTAAGCATATTAATATCTCCCTTGAGTCAATGACATTACGACATTAGCCAATGAGAACGCCGGTGGTGAAGACGCGACGCGATAAGTGTGCATGAACATAATCAGTCGGCACCGTGAATATCTTAAAATCACTGACAACAGGCACATGAGCTTCTTGCAACACGGCGAGCAAGTGTTCCCAAATGCTTCTTTCCCGTACTGTCTGAGAACAGAGAAATAGCGAAAAAGTGATAGTTTACAGAATAATAAAACCAAATGCTTCGCTAAAAAGACCTCTGAATTATTTTTATTAGCCGATAAGAACACAGAAATTCAGGGTAAAAGTACTTATCGTTGGGTATATTTGGTGATGAACGTGAACATTGGTTAAAAGCGCTAAAGAGACGAACGCAATAGAAAAAAAACGCGTGTTTGTCTCCTCTCTTGTGTTGGCCTTTTTAGCGCCTTTTAACCACAATTAAACAAACAAAGCAAAAAAAAAAAAAAAAGAATCGGGGTGCTTCAAGTAGGAAAAAAAAAGTTTCACAGGTTTTCTTCTTTTGCCGCTAATATAAACTACGCACCGGCGAATGCTCATTCTTCGCGCAAATGTAGCGCCAGCGATCTGAACACAATGCCAAAGTTTCAGCGCTAACCTTCATTTTATTCGTAAGTTATAACTTATAAGCGACCTGGTATTTTCAATGGCCGACAGCGCTCTCGAATTCATGGAGCTGAATTGCGCCAGTTACCGAATATGGCCGAAAACTAGCCCAATTTTCCCATTGATATTTTT